GTAGTTGAAGAGTACCAATACTGCCGAGTCTTTTAAATTGATTAATTATGGTGTACTCAATTCCAGAAAGAGTAGAAATTATTGAGCTTTTTTTCAAAAACAATGAATGCGGAAATCGGGTCGCCGAACTGTTCAACCAACGGCATCCTGAGAAACATGCGTCTGGAAAAATTGTTCGCGAATTGGTGGCCAAATTTCGCGAAACTGGCTCCGTTCATAACAAAAAGAGGCAGGTTGAAAATCCGGTACTAAATGAACCTACGGAAATAGCGGTATTGGGGCAAGTGGCAATGGATAGTACGCTGAGTACAATGCAATTGGCTACTGCGACAGGAGTGAGTCGTACAAGTGTCCAACGAATATTAAAAAAATACAAATTCCATCCTTATAAGATTCGGCTAGTGCAAGAGCTAAATGAAGACGATTTTGATCGTCGTTTGCAATTTTGCGAAATAATGACTGAACGAGCGATAAACGATAATTTCCTCTTTAATGTGTGTTTTTCGGACGAGTGTACGTTCTTCTTGAATGGTTTAGTGAATCGCCATAATTGTCGTTACTGGGCTGATACCAATCCAAGGATTTTCCATGAGACACACTCCCAACACCCCCAGAAGTTGAATGTATGGGCAGGTATTTTTGGAAATTCCATTGTAGGTCCTTTTTTCCTTCCTGGAAATTTGACAGGCGATATGTACTTGGATTTACTACAAAATGTCATCGACCCAGCTCTAACAAATATCATAGAGGACGACCCTGCTTACAATGAACACGAACTGATTTTCCAGCAAGACGGAGCTCCTCCACATTACTCGCTCAATGTGCGCAATTACCTAAATGAGACGTTTCCAGGACGCTGGATAGGACGAAGAGGTGCAATTGAGTGGCCCCCTCGGTCACCCGACTTAAATCCTTTAGATTTCTTTCTCTGGGGGCACATTAAAAGCAAAGTTTACAGCACTCCACCTGATACCTTGGAAGATCTGCGAGGACGAATCATTAATGTATGTCGCGAAGTAACACCGCAAGTGCTCCAGAATGTTCGACAACGGTTTGAAGACAACCTGTATCATTGTATGCAAGTTGGCGGACAACATTTTCAGCATTTACTTGACTAATACCGTAAGTTTTGAAGTAAAATTAAATCGATTTTCGCATTTCTCGTCAAAAATATTGTTCGTATTTTCAAAGCTGCATATTTTCTAAAATAATGAATCGATTTTCAAAAAGTAAGAATCGATGTATAGAGAATTAAAAGCCCTTTCTAATGACCCCCCACTTGACCCCCATTCCCATTTGAAAAAATTTAGGGGATAGCACCCCCACTTAGGGGGTTGAAGATTTTGGTATGCTTTTTGAGCCAAAAGTTGTCCCCCTCAGAAACAAATTTGACTTGTTTTTGGATTTTGCCGAAAAGTTCTTTACTACACTGTAATGGCTTGCGGTACGTTTTCGATGGGCTACCCTGTATATATCCTTATTGAGAATTAAAGACTCCTTATTTTTCATATGGAACACGAGTACTTTTCTCACAAAAATGACATTAATTTTGCACGAAGCAAGAGCTTTTCATAGGATATAGCCTGCCTCATTATGGAAACAATAATCTTTATAAATGCTCAGATATTTGGAATTAATAAAAAAAAATGAAACATAGCAGTTATCAAATAAAATCAAAATATAGCAAGTACTTTTTTTGGTATAGTATTACAATTTAATTTTGACTTGGACAATGTTAATGTTATTTAGAGAACTAATAAAGGAGGATGTTCTAGCACACTTCACTATTTTAGCAATAACTTGAAAACGAAAAAAAAATCGACCTCCTGTTTGTGTATTTGTTTTGCTTAATAAATGATACCATTTATTAAGCTATGAAAAAAAACCTATATTGTTACATTTAATTTTTTTAATAAACGGACAATTAAAAAACGTTTCTGATTAGCGTCGTTACCGTTGCGCAGAAAAATAATATTTTTATTCCAATATCATAAATATAAATTTTATTAATAGTTCTTTAAAATGAGCCATCGTTTATTGAAATCGATTAAGGCATTTAGAAGTTACGACAATATAAAAATTAAACAACTAAACATTTTATGATGATTGGTTATTTTGACACCACCGTGGGTAATGAATGTAAAATTACATAATACAAGTAAATTTACATTAAGCATGTTATTTTTGCTAAACATACCGTATACCAATAGTTTGATCTTATCTGATTAAAGAACTTATTCAGCTGTTCCTATTTATATTTTCCTTTGTCGCGGTTCCGATGATTAATCGATTGGCCAGAAAAAAGCTTTCAATTCGGAGAGTGGTTCTATTACGACTGCTCACCAAATATAACCAGGTTGCTAGGTATAGAAAAGACAGGAAATTAACCAGAGCTATACATCAGAGTGATATATTTTCCCTGAGTAATTTTGATTTACAAGTTGGAAGCGCTACATTTGATTTCGACGGCATATTTATTATATAAGAATATCAAGAAGCAGGTATCTAAAGGATTTATGAAAAATACGGTTAAATTAACATTAATGAGATGAAATTTTAATAAGTCACTTAATTGTGTGTTAATTAAAAATTTGTTTGTTTGTTCTTTTCTTATAAATGTATGTTGGTATGAATTTTTTGAAAATTACTGCACTAAAGTTTACAACTTTAAGTAAAAAAAGTATTTTATGGAAAAAAGCAATGAGGGCAGTCACATATTCGGAGATAGGCTGTTTTGGTGAAAATGAACCCATTTAAATTATGTTACTGTCGAGTGAGGAGCTTCGAGCTATTTCGAAAGTCAACAAGGTTTCAAATCCAGAACCAGAAATCGCCCGTAGAACCCGGAAAAGTTCAAAACACATCCAGAGGGCCGACTGGAAATCGAAATTTTCAACGATCTTTCAAATCCAACCCTCTGAACTTATTAATAACGCCTCTGTTTTTTTTATTTGTCTTGTTTTGTGTAGTTTTACTTTTTTAATTTTGTTTTAGTTTTTCTTAATTAATTGTGCATACAAATTTATTTTGTAAAATAGACGTACGAGAAAATTTAAAATAAAAATTGAATTTTTATTCGATTTTTTTTTTAGTTGTTTTATTGATCATCCGGTTAAAAATAACATAACTTGGAAATTAGACAAAATGACGGTATTAATGTAATTGAAACCAGAACTATTTGCGAATAGAAGTTTTTTTAATAGCTACATGAAATGTATTATTTTATACTAGTTTTCAGTTTCGTTAAAGTTGATTATTATAAAAAAACATTAAAAATGTGACAAAAATGTCAAATACATAGCTTCCACTGACGATTGTCCTCTTGAAAAATTCCAGGTACATTAAAAAAAATCATTTAATTATTAAATCGAAGAGAATTTGTGGTTTAAATCTACAAATGACCCCGTATATTAATAAAGAAGGGTAGTAGACACTTTTTAATGGTCATGAACTATCTAAAATTCCTTGAGACTCAGTCTGTATACACGCAATCACCTATTTATTTATTTATTTATTTATTTATTTGCAAGCTTATACATTGTTATGCAATTAAATCAAATAATATTTTTTATAATTCAAAACATTGTTGAAAATGTTTGCGAGCCAAAGCTAAAGCATTGAGGTTACTTAGGAATAACTAGAAATCTATGGTCGATAACAAAGAGGCTCTCATTAACCTAAAATAAAGGTGCTCAAGAGTCTCGCAAAAATCAATCAAGAACCCCAAAAAAGTGTTCCGGCAAAGAAATAAAGAAAGTGCTACAGCCACAAAAATTTAAAAATCTTGTAGTTTGATTATTCTTAAGTGTATTTAATATTTAGATTATTTTAGATTTAGATTTATGATTGACTATGGTCTAGGATAAGCTAGTGAGAGAAAGACAGGATGCATTACCTTGATCCAATTTCTCTTCCTTAAGATTGTTTTCCAAAAAATATTTTTTTAACTAATTTTTTTAGATATCTCCGTCACTTTTACTCACTTTGCAAACTACGACCCATGTTCATATGCAAGTTTTTGCTTAAAATAATTTGTTCTCATACTTCTTTGCACTTATTTCAGTAACACTCTGTATAGCAATGTTTTGTTGCTTTTTTGCTAATTCTTGTACCAATCTGGAATACTTCCTTACGCTGGAAAACGCTCTGTATTAGATATTCTTTTTAATGCTACAGTTGATCCTGTGATGTTCATACCTGAATCTACTTTGTTTTCTATTAAATTGAAACCTGATAAAGATATCAAGTTCAAATAGGTGAAACATGAGTAACCTTTGTAGTCGAATTGAAAATCGATTGTAGCACACAAAATTTATACACCTTGCGATTAGAGTTTACATAAATAGCAAAAAGAGCAAAATTTCGTCTACGACAATTTGTTTCAAAATGTAGGTGACACAGATATTTAATTTTTAAGTGCATTTCATGTAGTAACAAATTTAATGTCATTTTATTAAATTTTTATAGATAGGACTTTGTTTGATTAACTTTTATGTCACATAATAAACAATGTATCTTACAATTCTGTCGTTAATGTCGAACCTTTATCATGATCGTAATATGCAACCAACTCTTATTTTATTTCTATGTTATCATCGTCTACTTTTTGGCATTCAAGTTCACAACATCCTGTATAGACCTAAAAAAAACATTAGTTCAAATGCAATTAATAGTTTGTCTTTGATGAGCAATGAGTTCATCAGATGAGAATTTTAGGAAAATTTTTAAATTCGATTTGAATTTAATGCAGTATTGGTGATACGTGGAATTAGTGTCTCCCGAGTGTTTACTCCAATTTTGTACACTTTGTAATCTTTGAACCAGCCCCATAGACAGTAATCTAGTGTCCTGAAGTCTGGAGATCTTGGGGGGCAACTAATAATTTCTGCAGTGTTTCAAAACCTATTTTTTACAAGTAAAAACTGTTCATAATAAAAACTAATTACCAAACCCATTAGGAGGAAAAATGTTCTGTGTGTTAAAATGATTCTTTGTTGCAGGATAAATCATGGATGAAACGGTGTGGGCTCGTGACCATACTGAAGGATTCGTTCTCGGCAGGATAAGGGAACTCCTCGATGATGAGGTGGAGGTGGTTCCGTTGGACCATAAGTATCCTAAGAGAGTGCTACCCTTCAGTGACATCTTCAGAGCCAACGTAGAAAAGGACAGGGACTACGATGATAACTGTAAGATTCTCAAATTCTCTTTTATGATTTTCTTAAATTATTCTGTTTGTGTTTGCAGGTGAAATGATGTTTTTGAATGAGGCGTCGCTACTGCATAACATTCGCGTGAGATACTATAAAAACAAGATATATGTAAGTCGATATTATTATTATTAATTTGTAACTAATGAAAATTGAATTGATTTGGTATAATTACGAACAATACTTTAAGTGGGCCACCGTGTAACAAATGTTATTTACTTTTTGATAAGCTTGCCTTGACTCATAATCAACTATTTTTCACTTTTTTAGCAACAGGTGACTAAACCTTACAAACAAAAGCAAAGCTACACTCTAGAGTTGAAGGCAAAATTCATAGGAAAAATATTATTTTCATTAGAAATACCACTACCCACACTTTTTATTAGTTTCCTTATCTTTCATATATTTTGGGAACATTTTAGATTATATACAAAATTATCTCGGTTTATCAGAACCTATTATAAATGATTGAGGTACTAGACATCAAAGCAAATAATAGTCTATTTGCTGTACAAAAACATCCTTTGTAATGTACTAGTCCACCTGGCACTGGAATAATTGATATTACTGACGAAGAGGAAACATAAATATACACACAACATAATGCTTATGTTTGTATAAACAATTAGAACAACAATTGCATTTTTTCCAAGTTGTTTATTGATTTTTTGTTTGTTTTATGTCAATAAAAGTTAACAAACGTCCGCAAAATAATAATATTTGCTAGAAATGACTAAATTCGGGCGAAATTCAATAATATCGAAACGGTTTATAATCTTACTATTTGCAGTTGTACTTGTATTTTATGGTACTAATAAAGAATTATTATAAATGACAGGTTTACTGTTTAATTATTTGTTTTTTAATACTTTTTTATACAACTGAGTATAAATAAAAAACTCAAGAGTTTCATAATATCCTTCGATGCGAAAATTTTTATTGTAAATATAAAAATGCTGTTAAGAAATAGAATAATCTCTAATTAAATATAAATGTATGTATTATTATTAATTTTGACAGAAAAAAAAACAAATAAATACACCTAGATGTGTTTCTACCGTTCAATTTTCCTCGAAAATTGATTCATCTCTCGGGATATACGAGAACACACTGTATTCAATTTAAGTCGATATTTATAAAAATGAACATTTCCACCTAAAATATATTTTTTATTAATTTGGATAATGACAATTGAGCAACAAGACTGTACAGTGTACACCTATGCTGATAACCTGTGTTTAATCTTTCAATTAATATTTGTCTCACCAGGATTTAACTATTACCGCAATAATTTGTTATAAAGGATTATCCAGACCTATAAATCAAATCAGGAATTTGAGAGCAAATATGAATTTATTTACACTAAAGAGATAAATCACTTTGTAATGAAAAATTCCTAAGTGTGACCCGCAAGGATATGAATATTTATAATTACAAATAGCTTCTATTTTATTGGTTTTAGTTTTTACTGGGATATAAGTTATGTTGAAGTTAATTTGTTTTTTGGTATTTTTAAAAATGGGTCGATTATTCATTATTGTTTTCTTGTGCTTAAACTTGTACTTAAATAATAATTTTACAAAATAATATTTTTTTCACTACGTTATACAGGGATGGCCAGAAGTACGGAATAAAAATCATATCTTTTGAATGAGTTAATTTTTTTTTAAAATAATTAATTTTTCTTCAAGCCCCTAACCCCCAGCTACCGCTACTTTTTTTTTCAAATGGAAATATAAGGCATGAGGGGGCTCGTTGAAAAACTTATAGAAAACCGAATCCAGCCATACCAAATAAACAAGTTTTATTTTTTCAATAGCAAGGTTTTTAGGGTTGTATAAAACACCTACTTAACAAGTGAAATAAAATTTAATTAACTTCAGTGTTATCCTCCATGAATTTGCACAGAATAAAATAAAGAATTTGAAAATGTACCTACCACTGCTAACGCAAAAAAGAGATATTTTTTATGTTGCGTTTTTTTGGCACCACTTACTTGCCAGGGTTTCTGGTTAATTTTTCGCTTTAGCTGTAATTGGAGTTCGAAACGTTACTATTGTGTCAAATCAAGTTATTTACTGAATTGCAATGGTATTGTTGGAAAAGCAACGCATCGAAATCTTGATATTGCTTGGATGTGGAGACAAAATAAGAAGTCAGGCTGAAGTACGCGATTTATTTAATGCTAAATATCCCGAAAACCAAATCTCGCAAGGGACAGTTAGTAAAATATTTCACAAATTTGAGGAACACGGTACAGTGCAGACGGATGAAGCTACGTTTTATTTAAATGAAGTGGTTAACAGGCACTGCATTAGAACTTGTTGAAAATCCTCATACTTCAACTGTTTTATTGGCCCCTCGATTGGCCCGCAATCACGATGCTTCTCGAACTGCAATTCGAATGTTTCTGAAACAAGAGAAATACCACCCCTATAAGGTATGTCTTGTTCAAGAGCTTTTGGAAGACGAATATGATAGGCGATTACAATTTTGTGAGAAAATGATGAGACGGTGTGACGACGTTTTATTGAAATGGAGTGGTTAACAGGCACAACTATCGCTTTTGGTCCCAGGAAAATCCACACTGGACATGCGAATCGCATACGCAGCAAAAGTTAATGTATGGGCAGGTATCATCAACAACAGAATCTTGGGCCCATTCTTTTTTGAAGAAAATCTTACTGCTGCACGCTACCTGGATTTCCTAACATTTGACCTGATACCTGCTCTAGCTGTGATTTTCCCTCATGAAATTGATCCAGATATACCGAATGAAAGAATTTGGTTCCAACAAGATGGCGCTCCCCCACATTTTGGTATTGATGTTCGAAGATACTTAGATGAAATGTTTCCAAATCGCTGGATTGGTAGACGGGGTACAGTTGAATGGCCGCCAAGATCCCCCGACTTAACACCCCTGGATTATTTTCTTTGGGGATATTTGAAAGAAAGAGTCTACCAGGACAGACCGGATAATATTGAGAATTTAAAGAACAAGATTAGGGCGGAGATGCATAATTTACCAGCTGAAGTCATTCAGAATGCTGTGGACAGCTTTTACTATCGTCTTGGAGAATACCAAATAGTGAATGGAGGACGTTTTTAGCATTTGCGACATTGAGTTTATTTTTTTAAATTATCTAGTTGTTTCAATTTCTAAATTAAAAAAAGCTTGCTTTGATTGAAAAAATAAAACTTGTTTATTTGGTATGGCTGGATTCGGTTTTCTATAAGCTTTTCAACTAGCCCCCTATTGCCTTCTGTTTCCATTTGAAAAAAAAGTAGGGGTAGCTGGGGGTTAGGGGGTTGAAGGAAAATTAATTATTATATAACTGAAAGATGGGAAAAAAATCAAAATCAGTTAACGTGTTTCGGCGTTTTAAAAAAATTAACTCATTCAAAAGGTATGAATTTTATTCCGTACTTCTGGCCATCCCTGTATACAAACAAAATATGTATGAACCTTGATTGGTAGAGTTATTGTAACGACTAATTTCATTACAATTTATCTGTTCTTATTCTTAACCTGTTTTGTAATTATGAATACATAAATAAAATATCTCTTTACTTTTTTTTTTCAGTCATATGTAGCCAATATCCTAATCGCCGTCAACCCTTACAAGGAAATTCCAGCTTTGTACTCCTCAGACACGATAAAGAACTACAGGGGTAGATCCTTGGGAGAAAAACCCCCGCACGTGTTTGCTATCGCCGACAAAGCCTACCGCGACATGCGCGTCTTAAAACAGTCCCAGTCTATCATAGTTAGCGGTGAATCGGGGGCGGGCAAGACGGAATCCACCAAACATCTGTTGAAATACCTCTGTGATAGTTGGGGTGCCGAGGCCGGTACTCTCGAGCAAAAGATATTGGACGCAAATCCGGTGCTCGAGGCGTTCGGTAACGCCAAGACCACCAGGAACAACAACAGTTCCAGGTTTGGGAAGTTCATAGAGGTGCATTTCGATAAGACTTTTAAGGTTGCCGGCGGGCACATTTCACACTATTTGCTGGAGAAGAGCAGGATATGTTCGCCCCAAGGAGACGAGAGGAGCTACCACATTTTCTATATGCTGATGGCTGGAGCCCCAGAGGGCTTGAGGCAGTCGCTGGGGTTGACTAAACCAGACGATTACAATGTGAGTATAACAATTATTTAAGAAAGTAGGCATGTGTCATTTGATCGAACGAGTTTGATTAAATAGTGTCTAGAGACAGCTGATTCTCTTTGTCTTGAGGCTCCGGTATGTGCGCTTTGATTCTTAATAAAAAATTTAAACTGATAGGTTAGGTCAGGATCGTAATCGTAAAAATGATTTCATTAAACATATTTCTGGACTACGTCACATGAGAAACAAGCATGTAGGGAGCCTCCAACCGAAGTAAATTTTCTCCGTTCCCATTGCCGATAATTGTGGAATAGCTAGATCACTTCTAACCTACACAACGACATCAAAATCACTCCGATCGGACTATCCCTGCGCCCAGCGGTGGCGACCGAACATTTGCTATATTTTGAAAGTTTATACCTCCCTATACATAGACCATTAGATTCTACATACTTTCCTAACATCTAGCGTTACACTACCGATTCATTAAACATTTCAAATATTAAAAATCATTTTTTTTTTTAATTCAATTATATCTTCATACGTGGTATTCTGAATCGGGTCCAAAATTGGCTCATAAAACAGTTAAATTGGATCCAGGTATATAAACAATCACTTGACAGGAAATTGTTTTGCAGATATTGTAATTTAATATATAGTCTAGGTAACAAAGAAAAAAATAGGGTAAAACCTCCGAATACTTTCGGATAGATCCTTAATGTTAAAAATATAAAATTAATAGTTTCTTTGACTTTAAAATATTTTTATAGCACATATATTATATGTAGATAGAACTCTTCAATAGTTTATGGTATTATAAATAATTTATTACAATATTTCAACCTTTAAAAACTATCCCTAATAACTACCCCTAATAACAAAATATTAAAAAGAAATAGTTTTTAACAGTTTGAAATGATCTGATAGTACAAACAGAATAAATTAAATTCTTTTACCTGTTTATAATACAATTTATAATTTATTGCATTGTTAAAAACCCTTAAAAACCACCCCCAATGACAAAATGTAATAAAACTAAACTTTTCTACTTTTGAATATTTTTCGTATATTTTTTATTTTTAGTTATTTTCAAAAATATGTTATTTTTTTGGAATTAAAAAAAATTTTTTCAATCAAAACGTAATATTTTAAAAAACATGCACTCTATACTCTGCGGTTGAAATTATAGAGAGTGACTCATCGCTAGCTTTTGGACTAGTAAGGGGGATGAAGCGTGCCGGGAACGAAAACCCATTGCCGTGTCTGCGTAAAAGGCAACAAGATATAGAAAATATTGAAAAAAGATAATAAAACTTAACATCTAATATTTTTTACTGTTTGCTATAACCGGCACTTTGATCCATTTTAATTATTACAGCATTTTAAAACGTCCCAGTTGTGTTTTTTTAATTTATAAATTTATTATAGCTATGGAATTAGACCCCTCGTCTACGCTTATGCTATGACGTTTCTCAGGACGGGTAAATCAAGTCCGTTTATACCCAACTAAAAAAGCATTTCCCTATTCCCTACCAAGTGCAAAAGACAGATAGAATATAGATCGATGTTCAGTGTAACTCAGTCTATAGACGATTATAGATATAGATAAAGATAAATAATATTGAACCGTATAAAAATCATTTTATATTTTATACGCATTATGGTAATAGTGTTTCTATATTATGTCTGAGTCACTCTCTATAATTTCGACCGCGGAGCATAAACGGCTTAAACTTGTATAATATATTGTTAGCACATAAAAAATGTAAATTGTAAAAGGATTACCTTTAATTTTAAATCTTGTGAAAAATTCAGCAGTTTTTGTACTGATTTTTTTTCCGAAAAAGCGAATTAACAGTTTTATTTTGATCATACTGTTAATTTTTATGCTAATGACTTAAAGTCAAGTTCACATTAAAGATTAGTTCTTTAAAAAATGTTCTGTACATTTTTCTTGAAACATAGAATTATTTTTAGTTATTTTACGTTAAATGCTTCCAATTTACATAAATGAAAAAAAAAAACTAAATCTTTTTCTTTTTCTATAAGCTTCCTTTTCTTCGTTATGTTTTTTCCAGAGAATGTCTATTTTTCGAGTTATTCGAGAAAAACTACTGAAATACTTCTTTTTTAATAAAAAATTTACATATTCAATCACCAATAACTCAGAAAATATTGACTTATCGAAAAATGCTCATAAGATACTTTTTGCTTAAAATTGATTGCTTTATCGATTCCAGGGGTTATTTTCAATATTTTATTTTTCACCCCCTAGAAGGGGTGGCTTCCCTGCAAAAGCGCTCATCGGCACAACATAACTTTTGTTTCTTGAGCTATTTTCTAATTACAAGTTTCACGTCAATCGGTTGTATCTGAAAGAATTTGGAGGGGAAACCCTTGGTTCCGTGGATTAATAAGAATACATACATGATATATTTTGGAAATTATAAATGTATCCAAAATTAATAATACGCATCATGTAATAATGTTATCAAATATTGATGGTTTTTACTTAATTAAAGTGATTTGTTATTAAAATATAAAAAAAATGAAGTAACTATTTTATTTTTTAAATTAAAAAAATGTGAATATGAAATAAAAAATAATTTAAATTAATTTAATATAAAAACAAATTAATTGAAACCTTAAAACCATTATAGATAAATTAAATTTGGCAATTTTCTATGGATAATTTCACTAAAAAATTTCATTAAGACCAATCAGTCATCTATATCCAATTCATTTTAAATGTGCGTCATTCATTAATCACTTAATCACTTTTAATTTGAATTAGCTGCTCTTGAACTATTAGAAATGTAGGAATGCTAGAGAAAATTAAGTGTACAGTTTTCCAAAAACGGTATAGCTTTTTAATATGTAATGGTTTCCCATAGTTTTTTTAATAAGTACTTGATTTTTTGATATGATTGATTTTATTTTATTATTTTTTTAGTTATTCTTTTTTAATTTGAATGTTTTCTGGTTTTCTGGTTAGTACCAATAGTTCTATTTACTGGCCGGTTATGTTACCAGATCTGAAACCATATAAACGTAACTAAGTCTTAAAATCCAACAGTTAAAGATATAAGAAAAACATAAGATTAAATAGCAAAGATTTTATTAATTCTCAATAGGAAATTCAATGTCATTGCAATAAAAAAATCAGAAATACGCCACTGCTTTGGTGGTTTCAAAAAAGTATCGCCGAAAAATTGTTAAATGTTCCAAATATAAAAAACAAAACTTCGTCATTCGATATTTCAAAAATGAAACATTTGCAGACTTAATTCATATGAATTCTTTTTATTATTTTTAGTCATGCATATATATTTTTTTAGTATTTAAAGTCAGCCTGCACCAGATATTTCACCACATCGGCCAGCGAAAGGAAACTTGGCTCAGGCCAAAAAAGTGCTGACCACAACAGTAAAGGACCCCTCAAAGACATCCTCCTAGATGACATGGGAGATTTTACAGAACTAGACAAAGCCCTGTCTCGCTTGGGAATGTCGGACGGCGAAAGACTGCAGATCTACACAACTGTCGCCGCGGTTCTCCATCTCGGTAACATTGAATTCGAAGATAACCCAGAGGACACGAGAGGAGGCTGTAGAGTGGCAGCTAGCAAAGAGAAATCCTTGATAATGTCATCTAAACTTCTCGAGATTGACCCCACCGAACTGAGGCAAGCTCTGGTTGCTAGAGTCATGCAAAGCAGTCGGGGGGGTCTGAAAGGAACTGTGATTATGGTGCCCCTTAAGATATATGAAGCTAATAATGCCCGTGATGCCCTTGCCAAAGCTATTTATAGCAACCTTTTCGATTATATTGTGAACCGAATCAACCAAAGCATTCCGTTTCAATCTTCTAGTTACTATATCGGTGTGCTGGATATCGCTGGATTTGGTAAGATCATTTTTTTAAATCAGTTGAAATATTACCTCGCCAAATATGAAAGTGCAATTGCATGTCACAGTTAATCACATCAGTCACATGTTAATTAGTTTTATGTTTTATTGAGAATGTATTCTATTTAATTTTAGATGAGAAAGAAAATAAGTAAATTTAAATTTTTTCCAGAGTTCTTCACCGTTAATAGTTTTGAACAGTTCTGCATTAATTACTGCAACGAAAAACTGCAACAGTTCTTCAATGAAAGAATATTAAAGCATGAACAGGAATTGTATAAAAGAGAAGGTCTGAATGTACCTGAAATTACCTACATAGACAATCAAGACTGTATTGGTGAGTGACAACAATAATAACCAGTTATAAAAAAGCATTACTAAAATCAAGGAGTTTTATTCCTATCCAGATTAATGCAGAACAAGCAGGAAAATTACCACAAACAACTATTAAAATTGAAAATTTGGTTGTGGTTATTTTTCTACATTTTCTTCGCTGGCAGTGGTTGTTAATTATTTGATTTTAGATGTGATTGAAACTAAAAACAAGGGCATCTTGACCCTTTTGGATGAGGAATCCAAGCTCCCAAAGCCGTCCTACACTCACTTCACAGAAGAAGTTCACAAGGCCTGGCCTAAGGAGTACAGGTTGGGCCTGCCAAGGTCTTCCAAACTCAAGGCACATCGTAGTCTTAGAGATGACGAAGGATTTCTGGTCAGGCACTTTGCTGGAGCTGTTTGTTACCAAACTGTAAGTGAATAAATAAGCTTGTTTTTTTTTCATAATTTTCTCTGATGGATGGGCTAATGCAATCTTCAAATAACTATTCATACTATCAACGAGAGCATATCCAGTGTGGAGATATGCCATGCATTGTTATCAAATCTCATCTTTCTTGATTCATATACAAGTTTTTTCATAATGTCACAGAAGTTTAACATTGAAGATACACAAACACATTGTATCATTACTAAACACTGAACTGATTGAAACTGACTATTGTTCTATAAATATTGAGGTTGTTGGGTGGAATGACTTGGATAATTTCTTTTTAGAAATATTTTATTGACAAAAACAATGATGCCCTCCATGCCTCCTTAGAAGGCATCATTCAAGACAGCAAGAACAAGTTGATCCAGACATTGTTCTCAACGTCAATGGCACAAAAGGGTAAACTGACCTTCATCAGTGTCGGCAATAAATTTAAGACGCAGTTAGGAGAACTTATGGAAAAATTGAGAAGCAACGTAAGTTAATTGTTTTGTTGCGTCTATCCAAAAATTTCATTACTTCCTATGTACTTTTAGGGTACTAATTTCATTCGTTGTGTGAAACCAAACAACAAAATGATTGACCAGCAATTTGACGGCGGCTTAAGCTTGATGCAGCTCAAGTGTTCCGGTATGACGACCGTTCTGGAGCTTATGGAACACGGTTTCCCGAGCAGAACGCCGTTTGCCGACTTACATGCCATGTACAAAGACTATCTTCCTAACGAACTGAAAGTTCTTTCAGCCAAAACATTCTGTCAGGTAAAATAGCTAGATTTTTTTTTAAATCGATAGGCTATGAAATGAATCGTAAATCGTCGAATACTTTTCAGGCGATGTTCCACAGCTTGAAGCTTCAAGACAGGGATTTTAAGTTTGGAGTGACGAGAGTGTTCTTCAGACCGGGAAAGTTCGCGGAATTTGATAAAATCATGAAATCGGACCCGGAGAATTTGAAATCCATAGTGGCTAACGTCAAGAAGTGGTTGATAAAATCCAGATGGATGAAAGCACAATTCTGCGCACTTACCGTTATAAAAAGTAAATTGCATATTTTTTTACACAGTAATGACAGATAGCACAAAATGATTCCCTTGGAGGGAAGAAATATTTTTCCTGTGCGTTTGGCTGGGTGCAAAACAAATAGTTATGGAGTACTTTAGTTTTTGACGAAATTTCTTTTTTTTATAAGATGGGGGGCTTTTTTATAGCGATATTGAAAATGGTGAAATAGCACAGACTTGACCATACATACTTTTTTTTTAGTTTCTGGGATATTTGGAAAAAGTGAATTCAATATTTTATTTTATTTTTTATGTCAGAACTACAGTAAAAAGAAGAACACTTCTTGGTCTCTTTTTCTGTGCTTGTTCGTAGATATGCCAGTTTTGTTGTCTGATGTTCCATTTTCAGTTTACCATCAGCTACTTATTTTTTTTTTAAATAAGACGAAATACATATTTTAGAAATATTTTTAATTTTTAATGTTACTTTTGGCTATTTAATTCCATTTCCGACACATTTCAGTCATCATCAAAAACTTTTTGAAAACATTTTTAAGTAAGACTCCCCCCGTTCCTTCCCACTCCCCCTTCCTTCCCCTCTCCCTTCCTTCCCCTCTCCCTTCCTTCCTCCTCTCCCTTCCTTCCCTACCTCCCACCCTACCTCCCTCCCTACCTTCCTTCCTTCCTACCCCACCTCCCTCTCCCCCTTCCTCCCCCTCTCCCCTTTTCCATCCCCTTCTCTCTTCTATCTCTCACTCCCCTCCCTCTCATTCCCCACTCTCCATCACTCACTCTCACCCCTCTCTCTCCACCTCTCTCCCCCTCCCTCTCCATCTCTCTCCCCCTCCCTCTTCATCTCTCTCCCCTCTCCCTCTCCATTACCCCTCTCCCTCTCTTTTATACTAACACACTTCCATGTGCTCAAAAATACATGCACAAATCACGCTTTTTCCTTCCTACCCCACCTCCCTCTCCCCCTTCCCCCCCTCTCCCTTTCTCCTTCTCTACCCCTTTTCCATCCCCTTCTCTCTTCTATCTCTCACTCGCCTCCCTCTCATTCCCCACTCTCCATCACTCACTCTCACCCCCCTCTCTCCCCCTCCCTCTCCATTACCCCTCTCCCTCTCTTTTATACTAACACACTTCCATGTACTCAAAAACCAACAATACATGCACAAATCACGCTTTTTTTTAATGTTTTCAGCTCATATCACTAACCTTCCACAATGACATCACATTTTAAAGTTATTCCATAAATTTTTTTTAGTGAAAAACAATATCGCATTCCGCAAAAAGGCTCTTCTCATCGTTCAGAAAACCGTCAGGGGCTACCTGGTGAGGAAGCAACACGGGCCCAGAATAAAGGCTCTGAGAAATATCCACGCATTAAGCGGGAACCTGCAGAAGGTCGAAGCCAGCGCTGCTCAGCTGAAAAAAGATAAAGATAGCATCACTAACCAAATAAATCAGCTGAAAACTCAGTTCGGCTCTGCCATCGACCGAATTAAGGTAAGAATAAAAATTTTTTCGTCTACGCTTTGCTTGAAGCAATCGCATTTTTTTACAGAGTGACGACAAAATTAATCCAAAGGCCGCCCAAGCTTTGTATACCGACTTGGTAGCAAAAGTAAATCTACAGATGGCGGCACTGCAGAAGAAACTACAGGAACAAAAGAACGCAGAAGAGCAGGAAAGGTTGAGGAAGATACAAGAGGAGCTGGAGAGGCAAAAGAGGTTAAAGGAAGAAGAAGAACGTAAGCAACGAGAGGAGGAGGAGAACAGGAGGAAGAAGGCAGAGATCGAGGCCAGGAGGAAACTCGAGGAAGAGGAAAGGAAGAAACAGGTAATAATTTCAACCTATAAATATTTGATAACTTTTATTTACACTTCAATATAAATTTATGCAGTGTTTCTATATTTCTTATACATGGAACTACCGCATATTCTTAGGATCGTGTTACATTTCGCTGCCAGAGGGTTAATAAACTTGACAATTTTTCAAAAATAATACAAACTTTAGGTAGAGATAGGCTTAGATTGTCATCGATGTACAAGGAATATTGGGACACCCTGTACATGTTGACAGAAAACAATAATCGATCTCCATTGAACCGCAATTTTAGGAAGAGGCCGACAGGAAATTGGCCCTTGAACTGCAGCAACAACAGGAAAAATTGGCACAAGAAGAGAGGCGCTACCAGGAGCAGCTTGAACAGGAACGGCAGGACCGTGAGTTGGCGTTGCGGCTAGCCCAGGAAAGTAACGGCCAACTTGAAGAGAGCCCACCCATGATCCGCAAGTATGCAAAAGTTTATTCGGGTTTTGTTTACGTTGTAGCTTCCATTTTCTCTCCTTGAGCCTCTTTGTATATGGTATAGCAAAAAAAAAAGTTAAGAGAATATATATTAGTTGCTAAAATGAAAGATTTATGAAACTGTTATTGTCGCTTTGTCGACGTTTTGTGTACCAAATTTTTTTATTAGCATTAGTCGGGTGCTTTTTGGGAATGCATAAAATATATATAGGGTGATTCAAAAGTGTTGAGTCGCTCCCACGAGGTCTTCCTTTAAATGTTTTTTTGCAATAATATTTTTAAAAACATTTATTTATTTTTTTTGAGAAAAAAGTCCATGGAAAATTGTGAAACAAATATTTTGAAAAGATTTTTTCTTGTAATAAATAAAATTTAATGATATATGAAGGATTTTGGTAACATATAGGGTGTCTTGATTTGTAAGTGTTCTTATGCTTTATCCATGATGTGTCTCGTAATTTATACTCGAATTGCCATTGGGCGAGTCCGGCATTGGTAGACCAGTCCACCTGATGTAGAATCGACTGCGGCGCTCTGGTCATCAAAGCAAACTTGTATTGGTCCACTAGGTCGTAAATAATTTTTTGCATAGGATTCTATAATTAGTTTGGTGTCGAACGCCGTTCACTTGGCTTTGCCAGTTCTTTGGTATATGTATTATTAATTATTAGTTAATATTAATATTTGTTCATAGCGTAACCAATAAAAGGTAATAATTATTAAAATAAATGTTACATGTAGTTATCTAGTAATTTAGCATGGCTTTCTGGAGACCCATTGAAATGGATGATAACGAAATAACCTGGGAAAATCCCCAAATAGTTGAGCCAGTTTTTGTCCAAAGCATCGAAACAAATTCAGATGTTAAAAACAAAGATTTACATGTACCAAGTACTTTAAATATATATGAATGTTCGAAAAGAGAAAATAGTGAATAATGCGATAAAGAAATTAGGAAACGGATTAGCGAATTAACTAAGATATCAAAAACGACAATTTATCGCGTAATTAAAGAAGGAAACATTATATTCATGGTACAAAGAAGAAATGGACAAATACAAAATTTAAGAATATTGACGATTTTATCAGGGATGTATAAACAACATAAAGTTCCTACTTTAAACATGATTCGAGATAAATTTAGCGATTATCCTGATTATAATTATAAATCTTTAGATATTTTATGACATGTTTTATTACAATGCGATTTTAAACATAAAAAACTTGATAATCGTATGGTAATTATGGAATCACGACGTATAGTTGCACTTCAGGAAGATTATTTACAAGAAATTAGAGAACATCGTCAACTAAATAGGAATATAGCTCAGAATATAGTATTTCTAAACGAGTCAGGGCAAAATTTTTCTGGACGCCTATGAATTCCGTAAAGTTTATGCATTAAATGTTTTTATGCGGTTCCAACTGATATCGTAACGACTATACAATTATGCTATTTTTTACTCATTTATTTTTTCTGAATTAATTGATCACTTTGTACATTCGTAGCATTTGTCTTTCATTTGTTTTTTTGTTTATCGCTTTATCGTTTAATGGTCTGTACACAAAGAGAATTATAATATTTTTCATAATTAGAAAATTAAACGATTATAATGAATATAATTGAAGATAATTTATACTGAACTTCCCAAACAAAATACAAGATATTCGTATTTAGTGGAATAAAAAGGAAAAACATTTAAAGGAGGATTTTTGATTGAATGTAAATGCTTTATATTTGCAATCAGAGATGCTAAGAGAAGTTACCTGTAACGAACAATCATCGAACTTAAGGATCAACGAATTTTTTAATAATTATTTTACACTTTTATAGTTTTTTAAAATCATTACTCACGCATCACCAAAACTCATTTCATTCATTTCCCTAAGCTCTAAGTATTATACATCCAATGTTTTGATTCCGTCTTATATACACAGAATGTAGCATCCAATATTTTAACTGAATAAAAATCTCAAGAAAATCGTATATCACCTGTGTTATTATTTAAATAGATACTCGAGGAGGCTTACGATACTTTCTTTTTGTTTGTGTATATATTGTAAAGATTGTGGTGGTAGTTTTTATGTCAATTTTGTCAATGCTTCTTGTTTCCATGATGCAGCGGGGGAGTAGAGCCGGCCAGACAGTCCTTCAAACTCAACAGGTACATATTTTTTTATTCTGTTGGTATTAACTGCGGTGAAGTGTAGCGATTTAACTCGTTGGATTTACTTTACTAACACCTTAGTTTTGTTGGAGACCAGGCGGTTGTTGAACATTGGGTTAAGACCTCTTTTCTATGATTATAAACGGTTACATTCAAAGCATTCTCCTTTGAGTAGCACCGTCTTTGTATTTCAGTATGATTCACACAATTTTGTTTGCTTTACCAAAAATTCGATAATCATATTAGACATTTCTTTAAGAAAAAAGCCGACAGCTTAATTGAATTGTTAGTGTCCTTTGCTAACAACAAAATTTCATTTCTATGGAATATACAGGATGTTTGCTGAAGTAAATACAATTTTTAAAATGCAGTGTTGGAAAACCACGTCATCTGAGGTTAGAGTATGGAACAAGAGATAATTACGTGAATATCGTGATTCGTAAACTTTCCAAAGAAGTAAAAAAATATTGAAAATAGAAACATTAAACTAAACACAATTTATTTAAACAAATAGGTACAAAGAAGACTAAGAAAACGTTACAAAAATAATAATAGTATGAATAAAAATGGACCATCTAAAATGGTTCAATATAATAAATGATTTTAATTATAATAATGAATAAATAAATATTGTACTTTAAATATGGTACTTACCAAAGCAACAAGATTTTTGCATGTATCGAAATAATATTTTGGTGTTAGCATTCGACATGTACAATTTAATTAAGCTATCAATTTTTTTATTAAAAAAAATGCTTAATGTAATTTTCCGCCTGAAATTGAACAGAAATAAAAATTACATAAGACAGATCTTATTAATTATGCTATAAGTAAAATATATTACTAATTTAATTTTTCATATTAATCATATTCTAAAAAATTTTAAAAACCTCAAAAGATACCTTTTTACTATTTTATTTTTATCGTTGGTTGGTTTTATTTTAAAATTATAAAAAAATTAACTGTAAATTATAACAAGAAAAGATGGAAATAAATCGATGTTCATATACAGGGTGTACCAAATTACATTGGCCAAATTTTATCTGATGATAGAACTTCCCAAAATAAAAATAAAAATGTTTCCTTCCTATGATGCACAGGGTGTTCATATTGAAATATATGTATGGTTTATAAATATTAGGGTGGCCCAAAAAAAACCTATTTTTTTTTCGTGTCTTGTGAAAATATATTAGTTTATCGTGTTTTAAGAGCCCCCTCAAAAAATCTACTCAAAAAAAAATTTTTTAGGGGTCGCTCAAAATTTTTAAATATTTCCAAAATTGTCAAAAACTTGTTTTTTTTTTTTAAATTTTTTTTCTCGTTATTTTATCATTTTTTAGCTTGAAAAAAATCTCGATTCTAAAAATTTCAAATCGATATTTTAATTTCTAAAGGTCACTCATAATTATTTTAACTTTCAAAGTAGTGTACCTAAAATGTTTTCGAGCGACCTCTAAAAATAAATATCAGCGAACTAATAATTTTTTTTATTGAATTTGGTGAACAAAAGAATAGAAACAAATCACGAGACACTTAAAAAATTTCTTGACGAAAAATTTACTACTGCACTGTATCAAATATTTATAATTTTTTAATTTTTTAAAATTTAAGTGATTTATTTCTATTCATTTGTTTGAAAGTTAAAATAATTATGAGTGACCTTTAGAAATTAAAATATCGATTTGAAATTTTCAGAATCGAGATTTTTTTCAACCTAGAAAATGATAACGAAAAAAAAAATTTTTTAAAAATTCAATTTTTGACGATTTTGCAAATTTTTAAAAATCTTGGGCGACCTCTAAAAAATTTTTTTTTGAGGGGGCTCTTAAAACATGATAAACTACCATATTTTCACAAGAAACCAGAAAAAAATATTAGTTTTTTTTTGACCCTAACAAATATATTCAGAATTCCTAGGGATGGTAGGTATCTATCAAACAGTAAAATGGAAATTTACGAGTACTTCACTTTTATCTTTAAAAAATTAATACTGTGAATAAAGTCGTTTATGTGTATGCAAAAAACCAAAATTATAAAATTTTAGTTTCAAATCTGTGAAAAATGTTACATCAATGTAGAGGAAAATGTTATCTAGGCCTTCCTGATTTATTCTCAATGATTATTACACATAATTTTGTCTTAAAAATGATAAAAAAAAATACCTAGGTTATTTAGACGCTTTGAAAATATTAAAATAAAAACATTTTTGTAAATTTCAATTCGAAAACCCTGTATTTCGAAAACTAAACATTTCCTAACATATTTATGGTTACTTTTTTATATTGAGAAGTTCGATTGTTAGGTTGTTTGGCCTGTGCAATTTGTGACACCTTGTAAGTAATGTTACATTAATTTAGTAAAATACAGATTATAAAAAGTCAAATATGAAAGAACAAATTTTGGACTACTGCTGAAAAGTATGCAGAATTTCGTATACAGGGCGAATCATAATTACGTCTAAAAAATTATATCGAAACTTTTATGTGAGTAAATCGAATGAATTTAGAGCACTACAAAAAGTTATATTGAGTTAAATATTTAAAAGCGCTTTAAAAATGTAGCAATAAAAATTCATGTTTTGAAAATCAACTAACCACGTTTTGAAGGGTCGATATTTTGAATAAATGTTATAGTTTAGTGCTTCATTTTTAAAGTAATAAATTTTTTTTATTTGTTAATTTTGTCCTTATTTTGATATATTTTCTGATTAAGTGAATAAATCACATAAAAATTAACAATCTGCATCTGTTTAAGGAAGAATTTTTGTTCTGAGATATTTGGTCATTAGCTTTAAATAAATGTTTTACATCTATAATGGCTCACCCTGTATACATACTTTAGAGAAAAAGATAATGTTATTTACCAATTTTGCTGATTTTGAGTTATATGAAAAAGCATGTTTCGTACTTTACTAGTAGAATATTTGAAAATATTGTATGTATATTTCATTCTTCATAGTATATCGTAATTTGGTAAACACATATTCTACTACCACTTAAAGCTGGTGACGGTCTACCATTAAAAAAGTCATTTCAACTTTTATTATTCGTACTAATTCGTTTTTTCGGCCATACTTTAAATAATTTTTAGCTGTGAACTTTTCACTTTTTTTTATTTATTTAAAAAAGTGGAAGTTGGCCATTGGTATTTTTTGATCTTTTGATTGATCAAAATAGTATAATCTGTTAAAAAAAGCTGTAGTGTTTTGTGTATGTGTGTGTTTGTGTCCACCTATCTTTTCATAAGCATTATTGGATGTTGGGTTTTAAGCAGGGAAGTTGGTTACAATCCTTAGATTTCTCAAATATCAGATTATTAAGAGAGAATTTATTTTGTTACTAATTTCAGATTGTTTCTAATATTTTTCTTATTACTATAATTTTTTTATTATTAGCCTTATACTTTAAAGATATTAAGCTAATCCAAAATTCTAAAAATGTCACTAAAACTTAAATGAAATCATGATCATTTGATAAATGCGTATATGACGCTTTGTTCCCTTTTTCTTGGACATTTGTTTTTAAGACCAGGAGACCACAACTTTAAAATTTTGAAAACAGTTTTATTATTTATTTTATTAAAAAAATATATACTTACTCTGTGTATCAGCAGAAAATAATCTTTAATTTCTTAATAATCTGACATCTGCGAAACTTAGAAGCCTTATATAATATTTTTTCATTTTTCCTCATATTTATTAATTTAAATTATAAATCAAATCATTAATGAATATACTGGTGTCTCGGTACTAACTTCCTCCTGACTTTGAACTGCTCCCACAGATCCGAAGCGGTGAAGAACCAACAAGCCAACCTTGCCAAGAGTAAATACGACCTTTCCAAATGGAAATATTCGGAGCTGCGCGACACGATCAACACGTCTTGCGACATTGAGCTGCTGGAGGCTTGCCGTCATGAATTCCATCGCCGTCTCAAGGTGTACCATGCCTGGAAGGCAAAGAACCGCAAGCGCACCACCATGGACGAGAACGAACGTGCCCCGCGTTCTGTGATGGAGTCTGCAGCGAAGACTCCTCGGCTGCCTCAAAAAGCCATCTTGGATAATAATACCCAACGCTACTTCCGTATTCCGTTCCAGAGGCCCGGCGGTGATCAGAGCAAGAGGGGATGGTGGTACGCTCATTTTGACGGGCAGTATGTCGCTAGGCAGATGGAGCTGCATCCTGACAAGGCCCCCATTCTTCTAGTGGCAGGTAAGTGGGTTGTAGTTGCAATTGTCACAACTTTTACGACATTTTTTGTGGGATCTATGAAAATATAAGAGAAACATGGTTAAATGGGGAAAGTTTTAGAACATTCGTTACTAATTTAATTACTATTAAATTCACAGATTGGCTGTGCACTTTCCAGATATGTTGTAAAAATAAAAATTAAATATAACATTTTCGGAAATTTACTGTAATCTTCTGGCTTCAAGAAACTATCATTACATTTATTTTTCTCTTATGGCTACAACATTCCTTTATTCTATTAGTCTGAAACATCTAATACATTTTTTTTTACTTGAGAATCATCATCATATTTAATGAAATGGGATTTTTATAGCATATTAAAATATTAACAGATAAAGTAATAGATACTTACTTTTTAATACTTATAGAGAAACTATAATAGTGAAAATCCTGGTATTTAATATTAATTTGGTTAACATTAATTACAGGTATAGGAGATATAAGATATAACGAAATCTATGACTGCTTCTCAATGAAGCCCTAGACATTGAGTAACAGTAACCATTCATAGATGTACCGCTTTTTTTTATCTAGCTGTGTTGTATTACAATGTTGCCAACTTTAGCAATATTTTGAGATAGCGGCGATTAAAGGCAAATGTAGCGGCTTTTTGACAAAGAGAAGTAATAATAAAATCAGAATTATGTTTAATTTTCTAATCCAATGGAAATGTTGTATTGGGATTTGATTGTTTTTTTACTTAATCTGAGATTTGTATGCTATGCATCAAAAATCACATCACCTTGTTGCTAATTTATAAACGCACATTCTTCTATTACTTTTGTATCATATGTCAAGCAGGTCCAGGTCAAGCCATAGCTGTGTCTAGTCAGATTTGGGATTAATATTAATATAAAGATTTAAGTCATCAGTCTTATTGGTCCATATCGCTAATAAAGAGTAAAAAGCAATGGGCCAAGTATCGAACCTTGCGGCACACCAGGTGTTTGATTTAATCCAGTGAGAAATAAACCTATAAAGCATGTGTCATACATGGGATCTAAAATGTCATTGCTGCTCAACACCTAAAGGTGCAAAACATTGCTTTGTACCTACTAGTAGTACCTTGTAGTTACTAGATTTTTTAGGACATAACAATAATAAACACTATTAATTGTCTTTTTGGTACTTTATCGATATTTTTTTTTGCTCTTAGGATATATTGTTGGAAAACTAGGCAAATTCTAAATAAGATAAAATCATGTTGAGCGCTGAGTCTATAACAAAATTCTTCGTAAAAAGTTAAATATTTTCACCCAGTTAAAAAAATTCTTGAAAATAAAGTTACAGATTTTGGAAAATATGACATTTGTTTTTTTTCCAACATTCAAACTTAACAGCTAGAGCTGATCTGTGAAAATAATTAACTTGGCAGTAAAACGATCCCTATTTAACTGTTTTTTTATCTTTTATAAATTTCGAAATTCCAATACTTGTTTCACCAAATTGGTAATTTCAACTTTAATAAGCAAAGCTCTTTTTGTTACTGAGTTATCAGGACCACTAATTAATCTGAATTATTTCCGACATAATCTATCAATGCGATATATTTTAGGAAAAGACGACATGCAGATGTGCGAACTGTCCCTGGAAGAAACCGGTTTGACAAGGAAACGAGGTGCTGAAATATTGGAAAATGAGTTCAACAAAGAATGGGAGAAAAATGGTGGAACGACCTACGTTCGACCAGCCGATAGGAAATAATAAAAATTTGGATTCACATATAATTAAGCTACATTCCTTTTCTCTTCAAGACTTCAAGGGGCTTTTATTTTAAATGTTGCAATTATTAGCTTTACAGTATTATATAATAAAGTTATGTAATGTAATTCCATGAGAAAAGTAAATTTATAAATAAATTATTTATCAGTTTCTATATTTTTTCCTTCACCTTTTACTCAAAAACATTATTGTCTCTAATTTCTGTTTTGTTGGTTATTCCATATAGTTTTCATTTTTAATATTTTGACATTTGTGTATTCGTATCCTTACATTTTTTTTAATGACCTCATCAAATAGAGGGTTAAATATTTATTTAGAAGTGACTGTGGTTCTAACAATTTTCATCTTAACCCTTTCGCTGCGCAATACGTCTGAACGTAGCTACCGCGCCGTGCGCAATTGTTTATCGCGTGCGAATATATACGTCTGGAGCAGTTAGACCACTTATAGTTTTACATTATGTTGTGTTAAATTACGATTTGCGATAAATTTTACGATTTTATTTTGAATAAAATACAGTATATGTACTAAATAGAAACTGAAAGAAACATGAACAATCTTGGTACTATTACCAGTACCTCTTTCCATAAAAATATTTGTCACAATCGGTATAAGCTCGCCCGCAAAAATTCGCCTTACCAATTGCAATAACCGAGTCACTATGCGCACGGTTGCAAATATATACGGTTTGAGCAGCCTGATCCAATTTAACTATTCATGCGAATTTATCCGTCTGGAGGCCCTATAAATTTTTAGCGAATATATACGTCTGGAGCAGTGAAAGGGTTAAGGATACAAGAAATAAAACCTTTGCAGTACGAGGAAATATATATTTTTCTCATTCAGTTCTATACATTACTGAAAACTATTTATTTAAAAAATATAAACTACGGCACAATAATTATATAATTTACCTATTTAATTAATAACTAAGCTCACATGCTGCGGATTTTCTTCTTTTCTTTATACAAACTCTCTTTTTGAACTACAAAAAAGTAAAAGAAAATATATGTAATTAATTATCTTTTAAAAAGTCAATACTAATATCAACTTTACACTCATAATTAGAGCTCAACTGTCAGTAACGACATTAAGAAATAAATAATTTGTCCATTTTACCAGCGTCTTTATTGCAAGTGAAAGTTGAACCTTAGCAACTACTTGTATCATTCAAATGCTTTCTGGAATAGTCTCCAAAAACGTACATTTATCAGTGAAAAGTGCAATATAATTTAAATAAGAATGTTCTACAAGAGACGTAATACTTGCATATAAAATATTGATGTAGATCTTTCACAGTATTTAATCCACATAAAAATTGTAATGTATTACATAGTTATACAAGGCTTGGATATATTTTGTCAAATTTTTCGGTTCTTGCTGGTTCTCGGTCACTAGGGAATGGATATTAAATTTAAATTAAATCATGCCTATTTTTGACTACCATTATATCATTAAATTTTAATATTGCTCCACATCCAATTTTCGGCCACCAAAACAAGCTACTAGTAATCATTTTCCAATTCTTATTCCTATGGCAAAAAAAAGGTTTTGTGTGAGCATGTGTTCGGTTATTTACTTTTTATTTTTTAGTGGTCGCAATAGGACAAATCGTTCTTGACAAATCAGATGTCTCTTTTTTCATTCTGTGAGACGCTAGTGACCTTTAGATGTAGCATGTGAAATACTTACACCAAGAAGTGACAGTATGGGTCCCTCTACTTCCCGATCTCTTCGGTTTATTTACGCACTGAAGTGTCAAGCTCTAATTTTTTACTGAACGTTTCAAGCAAAGCAAGAAATACAGTAGTGGTCTGTTAAAGACATATTTCGGTATAAGATGATATATCTGTGATAATATATAAGTACGTATATTATAAAGAATATTATATACAGATCGGATTTTGCTGTACTTCTCCATTTGTAAGTGGATGTATGGAAATTTACTAGCCTTATAATTCAATGATATTGCTCTTCGCTGAATGTGCTTGAAACATCCAGTAACTGTTAAATATAACTAAAATTGTACTCCAATTTGTAAAGTTAAATATATGCTTGTCAAGAGATTACAATATAAATAAATAAATTGTACGACTTACTGTAAGGGTCAAATCTAATAACTTCCAATTTGTCTCCTAATCGTTCTCTGATTTTGTTGAAAGTATGACCACTAACAACACTTTCCATTTGAACCATAATATGTCTAATAAAGATACATTTTTTATATTAATACCTAAAGTAACCATACTTTCATTACTTACTTGCTTTTTACTCGTTTTAGTAAGATATTGGTTAAAAACATCTTTATTATTAATTAAAATTGTTAAATTATTTCAAATATTATAACCTCAAATCTCATATGTAATTATAAGGGCCTTTCGATTTGGCAAAAATAATAGCTATTAGCTGCTAATAGCAACTTAGAGTTACTCTGAACTGATATTAGTTGCTAATAGGTACAATTTTTGCCAAAACGAAAGCCCCCATAACCTCACGCTCACATCTCATGCCTAGATAAATGATACTAATCTCATGTCAAACCATTTACTTACTAATTTTTAAAACAAACAAAATATAAATATTACCTAAAATATACAGCTAAAACAGCTGATTTAAGTTGAAGCCAACACGCATGCACCAAGTGTCGCCGTCGCCTGAATTTTATTCTGAATGGTCAAATCCGTGCAGACTTTCGTGCCGAAGTGTAAGTTGGCTAGCAAATTGATTCTGAATGCACCTTTACTTCTTTTTTAAGCAGTATAATCAATCGGGCCGTGTTCTTTTATTCATCATCTCGATATGATGGACTCCGTAGAGCCAATAAAAGATTAGAATTTTTTTAAACAGACCAATATCGGGTAATTATTTAGTATAGTGGGACCCACAAAACATATAATACAAGAAGGTCGTTTTCATAATACCAAAATCGAAACACCACTGACATTAAAAGACAACAACTGGCTCCCTCACTGTGTCTGGCCGCCCAATAAAATGGAACTAAAGATAGCCGAGACGATAATGATGATTACTTTATTATCTACCGCCGGTAAAACAGATGCCAATTTGCGCGGGCTTCTGAAAATACATTCTAAGGGTCGTATATGACACTATACTAAAATTAGAACTAATTTCAGTAATTAATTAAGAACTTTTTAATCAGGCATAGTATCATCCACAAATTGCAACAAAAATGTTGCAGTTTCTGTATGATACTATGCAAGATTAAAAAGTTCTTAGTTAATTACTGAAATTAGTTATAATTTTAGCATAGTGTCATACGACCCTAATACTACTTCCTTTTAATATTAAAAAATATATACGATATTACGATTTATAATGGTAAAATCGTATTTTACTCGTTTAAATAAACATAAAAAAAACTGCAAAATTTATAAAACAGTATTTATTAGCAATTTTAATGTGGTTATTAATGTTATAAAGAGGGATAATCCCCTCGATTCCAAATCATTGAGGCTAATTTCTAGCCATGGAATAATGGCGCGGTTATTAATGTTGCATACAAACAAACAATTCTATTCACAAACTTTATATTTTCTGTTAAACCTGTTTTCTAAACACACAAACAAAATGGAAAGTTGACGGAGAAAAAACAATCTTTTAAGAATATGAATGTTTTGACATCATAAATAAATAATAAATATTTTCCTTTTGTGTGTAAACAAACATAACCCTTTTCACTATATTTAATTGGAAAACTCAATTTAATATTTACTTACCTTTTTGCCAAAACTTCCAATATTTTTCTCATACTTACTACAAATACATAATATAATCAAGAAAAACGTCATGCTAAACAAACGTGAGTCGTGAATTTCAGTGTGGAAAAGTTAGTAAAAAATTTAAAGACACTAGATTTTACATAGTGAAAAAACTTGTAACAAACGTAACAAACTTAAAGTTACTTCCTTTTCCTCACCCCGTTCTTCGTGTGTCTGGACAAGCTCCATCCCCTCCCTGTTGCGAATCTGGCAATGTTAGTTGCACAGCCATGGTGGGACCCTCCCAAATCTTCACAAAACTTTGTCTACTCCCCTATTTTCGATGTTGCTGAACAAGAATCTGAACTTATTTTTGTCGGTCGAACCCAGTTTTCGAGATAAAAAATTTTCAAAATTCTAACCTGGATATTTCAGATAACACTACGTAGAACTTAGATATGTAGTAGAACTCTGTATATTTTATGTCTCTTTCAAAACATCTGTTATGAACAACTCAACTCTCAACTCTCATTCATATCTGTTCATCCCACAGTTAGTTACTTTAATTTTATCTATTAAATAGTTAAATACATATTTTTTTTAGTTTTAGTTCAAATTTGGGAAAATGTGTTTTTTAAACAATGTTGATTGTTTATTACAGATGGTCTGAAAGCTACATAAAATATAGAGTTCTACTTAGTGTTATCTGAAATATCCAGGTTTTGAAAAATTTCTTTCTCGACAACTGAGTTCGACCGCACAAAAAAAACTTCATATTCGTGTTCAGCGCCATCGAAAATAGGGGGGTAGACAAAATTTCGTGAAAATCGGAGAGGGTGCCACTATAGTAAATAATTATCCAATATCGATGGAATTCATCACATTAAAACGAAGAATAAAAGAACACGGCCTCATAGTCAGACACAGTCACTGATAATTCATATTACTGAGTTGGTAGTTGACGCGGGTGGGGGCAACGCACTATCATTAAACGGTACGCTAAACATTGAATTTACACAATAGCTGCTTTATTTTAATTATGCACAGAAGAATAGTTATACCTAAACGATATTTAAAATCAAATCAAATGTCAACAGTAAAGAAAATCCTATTATTTTCGTAATTAGATAAATGAATCTAGTTGGTGTTTGTCTGATTCTGATTCACCCACTAAACACGAAACGTAAATGAAATGTTGCAAATGAGATGTTTTACTAAACATTTGAAACATTAACTAGAAACGTTTCTGTTTCATTACAGAAATGTAGCACTTGAAAACTTATTTAGTGAAACGTAGCCGAAACGTTACAATTGAAGAGAGTTTGAAACATTACTCGAAACATTCCCTTTCGATCTCGGAAACATAACAGACGAACAACCCTTTGCTATTTTTGCTTATCTTATGGAACATTCGGCATTAGTTAAATTTTGCTCTCAATCCCCAATCCTTCTCAAGCGTTAGTTCATTTGCCTTTGTTATATAAAGACATAATTAGAAAAAAAAATGTGGTAGCATATTTATAACACAAGTCTAGAAAAAATGTATGTTCGTGACTTGCGTAGACTGCGCGTAACAGCCCGAGTTTATTTGTTTCCCGTGTGTCGTTTCAATTCGTATTATGTTAGGTTAGGTTTGCGGTTTGTCAGTTTGCTTGGTTTCGTTGTTATTCATCTTTACTTTGACGCTATTTTATGTGATAATTTGTAGTGTGTGCAGTTGTGGTTATTGTAAGGTGCATATAAAATAATGAATATTGATGCAAAATGTTTAAAACGATATGTGTAGAGATTTCCAATTTTGCGTCACATCTACCTAAATATAGTTATACCCACTACCTATTACAGACAAGAGGACAAGGGACAAGAACTAAGAAAATGGAACAACAACTATACGTTTCGATATAATTTGAAGAGCAACTACTTAGTCAGTGAGAACTATTTGAAATATGGATGAATCAAGTGAAATAGACGTCATTTATTTTATATTTTGTACAAATGTTTATATTTGTTTATGTGTATAGGCATGCTTAAATAAAAGAGTTTAGGTATACCTACAGATATTTACTTTGTCAAGATATCATTTTGTATCCTTATTTCTGCTGTATAATTTATTATTATTAAAAGGATATATGTAATATTGACCATGCGTAGAAGAAATTATAACTTTATATTATTTTTCAGTAATGTTATTTGTTTTTCATGTACCTACCATTTTAAGATTCATAATCATAACTAACTTTTTCTAATTATCAGTTCGTCATTGTTACCATATTCATGAAGGTCTCAACATTAGAAAATTTCCATTTCAGAAGCGTATTTGAACTATATAAAATGTGTAGCTTTTTTTTAATGCTTCTGATATTGTTTTGTGATATTTTTATTTGTACGATGAATGGCAAAATTCATAATCCATATTAGAAACTTTTTTCAGTGGCTTCTCAAAAAGAAAGAAATTCTTAGTAAAAGTTGCCGCATCCCCAAACTAGAAGAGCATATTTATTTTTTTTAATATACAATGTAACTTTTTTTAGTTCGAATTAAGTCATTCACAATACAAATAAAAATATCACAAAGGAGTATTAGAGATATTTAAAAAAATACTCACACTATTTATACTATTTCAAAAACGCTTTTGAAATGAAAATGATCTAAAGTTGAGAGCATTATGAGAACAATATGGTAATAAAATTATTATGTTACTCAAACATTTCTGAAAATATACTGAAACGTAAAACAAAAATATCGAGGGCATAAATGGAACATAAAAAGAATGTTACTGAAACCAATTTTTTGAAACGTTTCATTGAAAACGTATTTTGGGGAGGACATCTTGGGCTTCTAGAATGTTACGAGAAGGTTGCATGGGTTTTTTATGAAACGTTTCAAGAAAAATGGAAACGTTTCTGAAACATGTCAGAAACTGAAAAATGTTTAGTGGGCAGTGATCGTGATTCAAGCTGAGAGCAAAAGAAAACGGCTAATTTATATATTTATATTTATTTACTAGTTTTTTTTTGTTGTAGGAACTTATTTCCAATCAATTTTTTTATACTAAAGCATTACAAAGACTTTTTTAAAATTATTTGTTAAAGAAAGGAAGGTAATTATCAAATTCATATTGGCCTAAAACAGCACATCGTCAATGTATTTAATTTTGCTATTACTTTTTGTAATTTTTAGAAAATGATATTGAAATTAGATTCTTGATAAATAAAAGAAGAATCGGTTATGAAAATTCCCATTGTATAAAATTTAATATTTTTGCAATCCATTATTCAGAATTATTTTTTGACACGATGATGCTTATCTGAAAAGTAATTTTGTATGTACTTTTGTATGTTTTTATTATACAGGATGTAACAAAAATCAACGTACAAACTTTGGAACTATACAGAATACCTTAAAATAATGATAGTTATTTCTGTAATTTCTGAGTAGGTACGTCAACTTGAATAAATAATTGAGTACAGTTTTTTTCGTATGTAACATTTAGAATTTATTAGTTTTATAAACTGTTATAACAAATTAGTATACATATTTTTTAATTAATATTTAAATATATTATAACTAAATAGTACGTTTTAAGCAGGTTTAGTTACAACCACATAAAATAAAATAAAAATCACTCATTTTTACAAAAAAAAAAATAAAATACAGTTTAAAGATATCGCAGTCAATTATTTTGGAGGTACCCATCCCCCAAAATGTTTCTCCAGTTCCTCCGCAACTGCCAAGCAGAGGCGGTCTTGATTAGGAGCAGCCATAATCTAAAAAATATATATAATTATCAGAAGACGTTAGATACAAGAGAATACATTTTATATACAGGGCGTCCGACAGCTTCTTGAGTGAAAATAAACCGATTTAGATCAAGTTACCTTAGTGCAATGCATTTCCTTAAAAAGTAACCTGTTTTAAACAAAAAAATTTGTTGATCTATTTTTTTTAAAGGTATGGTACTTTTTCAAATAAAGGACCCCGCACAAACCTTATGGAAAATGGCTTTCGGTCAAAATGGCTGAAATTGAAATATGATATAGCTCTCACCTTCCTGAGCAAAAGTTGTCATGTGCCCAAAACGATCCTATGAGTAGGTTTAAATAACGAGCGTTCAAATAAAAACGTGGTCAAGTTGGTTCTGAAAATTTGGACGTAGGGCGTAGCGTATAGCAAATGAACTTAAACGTCATCTGTCAAAGCGCTATATCGCCGCTATCAATTTGAATATTTTCGTTTTAAAAAGCGTTTAAAATGGTGTTTTCTCAAGAACAAAAAGTGTTTATCATAGAGTCCTACTTTAGAAATGGACGCAAGATTGATGGAATATGGAAGTATTCTATTGAGGAATGTTTCATAGAATTTCAAAATCAATTTCCCGGCGTTGTTGAGTACAAAATTTTTCAAAGTGCAGTTCAGCGTTGTGTTAATGTTTTTCGTGAAACGGGCAGTGTAACAAGAAAAGAAGGAAGCGGCCGACCTAAAAAGCGGACTGAAGAATTAAAAGAAAATGTCCAACAAATAATGGAAAATGCGCCAAGAACTTCTGTACGTGTTTTATCA